TTATTCAGTCAAGATGGACTTTGTAGGCGAGTGTTTGGGCGAATTGTTTCCTGAGAAAAATTGACCTAGCATGTTGAGGCAACCATCCGGAAGGTACAACTCTTAGAGACGATGCTCCTGACTTGCAAAGGTTGTTTGTATCGTGGGCCACGGCATGTCGTGACAACGTGATAGGGTCATGAACATGACAACTGGCACATGGCCGTGACTGCCATGACAACTATTCGTCCGGTTGAGGGCACTCGAGACTGTTAAAAATGGGTTGAGAATCTTCTTCAGGTTGATTGCGATCTCGAGCAAAGTGTGCCAGGCGAGAGAGAAACTGCTTTTTCTCACCAAGTTGGCCAGACCCATTTGCCGACCCACGGCTTGCGAGGCTGGTAACAACATAAGCTTTGGTACCATTTTACAAAAATGTCTGGAGCAGTGCTCAATGTTTTCATTTTGGCCGACTAACTTCGCCATAGGAGCAATAAGTTAACCAATCGTCTGCAGTTTTAACATGTATCTGTCAGTCGACGTGTATATTTGTATGTATATTTATCTCACTGTTTTTCTATATGTCTTTCGTTTATAAAAGGGTTTTCGAGACTGTCAGTGTATCAGATATATGAATTATTTTCACCCTATTTCGTTTAAGGCGATGAAGAACTGATAGTGGAATTTTTCCTCTATTCTACTCATATCATTGTGGGAAAATTCAACAACCATTCCTTCATCATCTTACACGAAGTATGGTGAAAACAACCAATATATCTGATTTACTGGTAGTCTCGAGACACTACTCACTCGCAAATAAGTAATGTCTTTCTGTCTTTCTGACTGCCAGTAAAGTCGAGACTTGGCTCGATTTCTTGACACGGAATACGGTCTTCTCAGTTAAGGGATACACTTCAAAAACTTCTCGTCATGGAAAAGCCAACCCAGAAAGAGAGTCCATCATCTTTATTCGGCCAAGTCTCGACTTTACTGGCGGTCAGAAAGACAGAAAGACATTACTTATTTGCAAGTGAGTAGTGTCTCGAGACTACCAGTAAATCAGATATATTGGTTGTTTTCACCCTACTTCGTTTAA